GTTTATTTGATAGTGAAAACTATTGTTAAAGAATATTTTGGCCACGCTAATACAAAATCCATTATGTAAAATAAAGAAATCTAATTCAAATTTATTATAATTTAACATTATAAGATTATTTTTGAACTTTGAAAATAAAATAAATATTAATAGCCGTACACGACTGATAAAAATGAAGGCACCAAATTGCATAGCATATAATAATATATAACTTATGTTATTATACTTAGAATGGAAGTGCGGAAGTGCAAAATGCTACTTTTGAATATGATATGAGATACTACTTGCAACTGTAACCACTAAACATAAACCAGTAAAAAGATACGTTCAATTTTCTCCACCTGCCTATAAATAACAAATTTATCGTTGGAGCTAAAAATAGTTRGTCCGATTAAAAATATTATTCTGCGATCACGTTACGTTTAATTTTGACCTTTCTGGCGAATTATTTATAAATAATAATGATAATAGTTGGACCGACTAAACCAGTTTTGCATGTTTTCCAATATAGGTGCACGCCATCTCCTCCAAGTAAATATAATAACGCGTTCTTATGACGATGATGATAATAATATTATATAGAATGGTCGTAGCACTACCGAGTGTGCAGCGTTATACGCATTCTTTGCTGCAAAGGTTAATGGGATTCGTGAAAATAACGTTAGGTGAAATAAGTAACTTAATATGAACGAACGTATACCTAGACAATATGAGGTATATAAAAAAAAAAAATATATCCACTATAGTGAAAATAGGAGTACACACGTGTCTAGATCAAATCGTTTCTGCACTCTCTTCGCGAACTATATAATAACAACGAAATATAATATTCATAAGCGCTGAATTTCTGTGTAAGACATATTTATCATGAATACAAGCTCTGTTTATTTTTTGAATTTTTCAACACACACACCGAAAACAAAAACCGTCTGATGGGTCCGGAAGATAACAAGATTTAATGGGAGGCAATAAATTGGATGGGTTTTTGTCTGGACAGCTGTATAGGTGTAAAACTTGTATTTCTCTACCTATAGTGTCCCAAATTTATTCAGTGAATAATTATTATGTAGGTAACACTACTCAAAGGTAAAGCATTGGTTTAAGAATCGTTTCGCTTGTTCCACTGAAATGCAGATTTTGAATTCTACATCGTAATTTTGTCTCTTCATACAGGAATTACAAATTCAGACTATAACGGTTAATATGCAATTTTATAACCGTTAGTTTACAAGCACAACGACTACAAACAAGTTATAGGACAAAAGCATACAGCAATATTAATAGGTTATTGTGTGACATTTTCACAGAAAATAGTTATGCGCATAATGTGTTTATTCCAAAAATCAACGATATAGATTTTATTAAAAAAAAAATACCGAATTTTAGTTACATACAAATATACAATAATATATGTTAACTATACCTTATACGACAAAAAACGGTAACTCAGTCGACAGTTTATCAATTTATTATTAAATACTAATTGCAAATTTGAAAATTGTTTTATGAAATGTGGTAATAACTATTTAAAATATATTGTTTGTACTTTTGTAGTTATTTGTTACATAGAATTTTAAAACAATATTTTAATGGCATATTCCTCTTATAACAAGATATTTATCATAATATTATACTAGGTACTAGTCAATWAGTATTTTATGTTCAGTTTCAAAGTTTATTATCATAGTAAAGAACTATAATGCTGTTCTCTATTACAACCAATTATAAACGTATGTGTTGTCAAATGAAGAAAATATAAAACCGGTTTGGAATAAATGAAAAAACAATAATGAATAGGCTCAATCCATTATTTGTTTATTATATTAATTGGTTTTTTTAAACAGTAAACACTAATATAAAATATTATTCTCGTTGATGTACCTAACTAGGCTGAATTTAAGACTAATAATAATAAATAATAAATAATAATATCAGTAAAGTGTATAGGTAAATACAAATAAAAACGCTGAAATTTTTTAAATGAAATTGTTGTTTTTGCTGAAACGTTTTTTACGCTGGCATGCAGTTCTCAATAAACTTAAATATTTCTAATATCCATCGTTGATTTTATCTTATTATAAAGAGAAAGATATAATTTTTTGCGAGTGCAAATAATACCTAACCTATAACCTATTGAATATATTATTAWAATATGTGAAACGAATTTCCGGTTATATTGCGTTCCGAAAAAATATGTCGATTATAGTTATAATATAAAAGTTATATTCATTTACACAGCATACCACGCAAACGTATAACGTATTAGGTTTTGGACCAACAACGAAGAAAAGGGACAAACCATAAATTATATACACCGAAAGACCGAAAATCAATATTTTAAAGTACTGAACTCAGGTTAGGGGAATAGCTAGGCCAATGTTACAGTAGAGTTTGTAAAAATTAAAATTCCAAAATGGTTAAGCTATAAAGTTTTTTCTGTCTGAGTGTATGTTGTAATTTGTTTGAGCATACACGCTGCAGTATTCTTTTTTTCATGTATTTTAATGGTACTTTTTGTTTCTGGCCTTTTTAATTTAATTAACCACAAACAACATGCAACTATAAACTCTCCAGGGAAACTCAGTTATCGTTACATAAAACTATCTGATATAACGTGCTGCGCCCATTCAAAATAAACAAACGAATATTAATTGAACATGATATATTACAATACTTYAAATTTCATATTTCATATCCTAAACTAACAAATCGATTAGGTATTGTAAGAAAATTACGATTTATGTTGATAATGCAACTAAAATTTARGAACAACCTGAAAGTATAGACATGAAGTTAATATTTATATGTAAAATATGAAACCATATTTCGATTCAATTGACGTTTTTCTATAATGATCTTACATTTAGAAAATAAAAATGATTTAAATCAACTTTATTCAAAATAATGATATCGGGCAGACGGGCAGTGTTGTTTAAAAAAAAAAAAAAAAAAAAAAACGAGTAGGTACATAAGTACTACATCATTGTACACAGAGGGCGGCATAGAACTTTTCAAGATGATTTCGTCTATACAAGCTTAAGGGAAGTATACTTTTATTCAAGTGCTCTATTATTATTGTGAAGTTTATTATATACATTTTATAACAACTTCATATCAATATTGTTCAATTGAAGTACGCTCGTCCGTTGAATGTGTCAGACTCTGCTTGTTATCGACGTAAAATCGTGAAATACTGAAATCTATATAGTCTGCTGAAGATTTCATTTGATTYTAAAGGTTTTTTTCTTTTCATATATTAGTATAATGATATCAGACCTTTGTTATGCTACAGCCTACAATATTTATAATAAAACTTCTCGAGTTCTTATACTCGGTACAAAATAATAAGGYAACGGTAAAAATAAACGTAAAATAAACGTGTAACTCGATACCAGGGTATAGTTATCTTATATTGTGCGCATAAATTATAGCATTTCAATGAAAAGACATGAAGATATTTGTCGATTCAGAGGTTATATATTCATAACACTGATTGCAATAACATCTCAAAGTCTAGTAAAATATTTTGCACATCTKCTGTCCTGATTAAAAACTAACGAATAGATCAAATTATATACGATAATAGCGTAAACGAATTAATTGGTTGAGAAACCATTTAAAATAACATATTGTTACAATATACGTTTGTTAAATAAGTGTTACTTAAACATATTATAGTTAATACTTTAATCGTCTAAATTATTTATTAACTATGATATTTGAGGTCCACGGTAATAAAATGTTGAATTATTGAAGACTTTAATTAAATTTAATATTGCACTCTGTAAACGAATTCTATACATTAATACAATATAATTATATTATTCCGCAAGTTTTGACATCTTAGATGAAATATTTTATGGATTGAAAAATAAGTATCGCGGAAAGTCGAAAGCCGCCGTGTAATATTTCATACGACAATCGAAAAAAATAACATTAATAGGTATAGTTGGTCAACACAGCCCTGAACTTTTACTTGAAAGATTATTACAAAATACAAAGTATATGTTTCGGATATATTGGCGTCTATTGGTTTACTAAGTTGTTATCTTGGTTACAAAGGCGTAGCTAATTCATGTTCATAATATTACAACACAAATATAATTGCACTAAGCGATTATAAGTACATACCTACATACTTTTACAAGTTAAATTCGTGTTCAAACAATGATCATGCAAAGTCGTGAGTAAAAATTAAAATAATATATAAATATATCAATTTGTATGCGAACCGATCATATATATTTTATTTTAGCGTTGACTATATCATTTTTCAGAATGAATAAATTGATTCTTCATCAAAAAAAAAAAAAAGGTAAATATTATTATTGTAATCATACAGATGATTTTAACGAAATGATAATAATGTATTGATTGAACGATGACTTCAAAATATTTTACTCGTCTGAGATGGAGGACCATATAATATACCTACTATATTGTACGATCTTCATTTACACATACCCCACGTACACTACTATACACTAACATTTTAAGTATCACAAACACGGAATAATGTTTATTMTATTATTATTATTATACACCAGCAAACCGTAGTATATAGAATAGCTCGAGCGAATTTATACACATAGACTAACATATAGTTTTTTCGAATTTCGAGAAATGCGATCCTATATATTATTATATATATAATATTGACAGCGTTTGGTGAGAATTAAGTCTGATTCGAAACATCTTTTTGTATAATAACAATATGTAACGTATTTTACGTACTACCTACTAAGTATATATATATATATATACATTATTTATGATGAACGGCGAACAAATATTGTAATTTCATCAGAAACAAAGACGCGCGCACAGATAGACATTATTATTATTATTATTATTAGCGTTAAACCGGCGACGAACTATTGGTTTCCAATTTTTTCCGTCGTTCGGACAGGCRGCGACCGAGTGGTGGCAGCAGTGTGCACCATGAGCGAGGCTGCTGGGGGTGCGCGTGTTGCGCCGAGGTACTACTTATAAAGAGGTAGCCCGTTGTATGCGCAACGTTACACAAGTATCACGCGCAAACCTGGACACAACTTTTTCCGCCGACAGAACATTACGATCAGTGAGTGGTGAAACACGGCGGTTTATAGAATAAATACGATTTCGTTCCGTATACAATAGTATATATTCCGGTGTCGTGTTTTTTTTATTTTTTATTTTTTTAGACCAACGTCTTACACACAAACCATAGCCAGGTAAAATAAAAAATTATTTTAATACCGATATAGTATAATATATCTATCATATTATATTTTTTGTGTTTGTTTTTTCCCGTCCGGTATATCGAATAGGSCGCCAATGATTATGAATACGATAAAATACGTTTCTCGATTCGATCAACACACGAAATATCTATTTACAATATTTAACTTTATTTTAATTTGAGATTGTACCAACCAAATAAATGTAATTGAAAAACGAACAAATAATTTTACAAGCGTAATAGTAGATTTTTTYGAGTCTTTGTTTTTATGAATAATATTTTTATTTTGTGTTCATTTAATATTCAAGTTAGTWATAAAAAAYCAACATWTTRTACTTTGTTTAGAAATATTATTTAAAAATAGTAAATATTTAATCTGGCAAAAAATAATAACTGAATTCAATAATTTATATATAATATAGTCAAAATAAAACGAATTATGAATGAATGCTCAAAAAAAAAAAAAATTATTATAATAAACTAATAAGTTTTATAATAAAACGGAATTTATATTTTTCTCAAATAAAGTAGTTRAAATGAACGTAAAAGCTACCAAATAATAATAATAAAAATGTAACTTAATAACTGCATGCACAAGTATGTATGTAAGATATTAAAATTCATAAATATAATTCAATATACTAAATAGTATTGAAATTCATTATTTAGGATATTATATTCTCTGGGACACTTATATATTTCAACTATGTGATGTTTAATGTTTTAAATTTGTATTACTAGAAAAGGAAATAAT